TAATTACTTTCGGAATTATTTTATCGGAAGAAGTTCACTGGTTCTCTCAGAGATGGCGCCACTTATCATGCCTAGGAGGTGCTGCCCTCTTATCGGCGAAAATTCGAACTAATGCGAATTCTTTAATAAGAATTTATCCATTGAAATTTCGACGATGGGATTTTTCAATTGAATTCGGAATTATTTTATCGAGAAAGTTCACTAGTTCTCTCAAAGATGGCGCCACTTAACGTGCCCGGGAGGTGCTGCCCTCTTATCGGCGAAAATTCGAACTAATGCGAATTCTTTAATAAGAATTTATCCATTGAAATTTCGACGATGGGATTTTTCAATTGAATTCGGAATTATTTTATCGAGAAAGTTCACTAGTTCTCTCAAAGATGGCGCCACTTAACGTGCCCGGGAGGTGCTGCCCTCTTATCGGCGAAAATTCGAACTAATGCGAATTCTTTAATAAGAATTTATCCATTGAAATTTCGACGATGGGATTTTTCAATTGAATTCGGAATTATTTTATCGAGAAAGTTCACTAGTTCTCTCAAAGATGGCGCCACTTAACGTGCCCGGGAGGTGCTGCCCTCTTATCGGCGAAAATTCGAACTAATGCGAATTCTTTAATAAGAATTTATCCATTGAAATTTCGACGATGGGATTTTTCAATTGAATTCGGAATTATTTTATCGAGAAAGTTCACTAGTTCTCTCAAAGATGGCGCCACTTAACGTGCCCGGGAGGTGCTGCCCTCTTATCGGCGAAAATTCGAACTAATGCGAATTCTTTAATAAGAATTTATCCATTGAAATTTCGACGATGGGATTTTTCAATTGAATTCGGAATTATTTTATCGAGAAAGTTCACTAGTTCTCTCAAAGATGGCGCCACTTAACGTGCCCGGGAGGTGCTGCCCCCTTATCGGCGAAAATTCGAACTAATGCGAATTCTTTAATAAGAATTTATCCATCGAAATTTCGACGATGGGATTTTTCGATTGAATTCGGAATTATTTTATCGAGAAAGTTCACTCGTTCTCTCAGAGATGGCGCCACTTAACGTGCCCGGGAGGTGCTGCCCCCTTATCGGCGAAAATTCGAACTAATGCGAATTCTTTAATAAGAATTTATCCAT